ATTTGGAACCGGGTTTCCCCCCATTTGGTGGTTCCAGATTTTTATGTTTTGAATTTGCAGGATTGGCTAATGGTAAACTTGAAGCAGCTGTCTTCTATCTGTTTTAATATCCCCTGGGCGCTATTGTTTGGGATAACCATTTGGAAGGCTTGGACTTGGAGGAATGGCATGATGCATGGTTCGGGAAGTTTGTTTAACAGGTATAATCTGGATGTCATTTTGTTGTTCGCTAGGGAGATTATGTTATCTGTGGATTCAGATAATAATAGTTTGCATAGGACTATTTTGCCTGGGAAGTTTATTAGATGGATCCCCCCTGATGATGATTGGATAAAGATTAATACTGATGGGGCTTCTAAAGGTAATCCAGGTATGTCTGCTTGTGGTGGATTGATTAGAGGTTCAGATGGAAAATGGTTAGAAGCTTTTTCTTATAGAATAGGCTACTGCACAGCAATTATAGCTGAGCTGTGGGGTATTCTGAAAGGATTGGAAATAGCTTGGGAAGGGGGTTGGAGGAAAAAAATTTTGGAAAGTGACTCAGCATATGCTATCACTTTACTCACCAAACTTGGTGATGAATCCCGTGAGTCTCATTTAGTGACCCGCATACGGGAATGGCTCTCAAAGGACTAGACTGTTAGGCTGCTTCACACTTACAGGGAAGGCAATTCTTGTGCTGATTGGCTTGCGAATCTTCCCCTTCGTAAGCTAGATCAAGAAGATTTTATGATTTTTCATGTTCCCCCCTGATATTAGGTGGTTGTTTTTTGCTGATTTTAGCTCTGTTCACAGAGCTAGACATTCTTTGATGTAATTTCTTTGTTTTTGTTCGGGGTTGTGCCCTTCACCAAAAAAAAATAATTAATGTCACTTAAATTTTATGAATAAATTTGATATAAATCTCATCTTTCAAGCAATATTGTTAAGATCAAGATTTTACCTAAAATTGGGAGGGGATAACAAGATCGTAAATAGTAAAATCGACAAAGATCGTAATATCGACACAGATTGAAAGATTGTACTTGTGCATATAAAATATTAAAATCACATGAATGATCAAATTCAAGTATGAAAATAACTTAGACATTTAAGTTTATATATATATATATATACAAGTGGGAATTAACCACATAACCTAAAACAACCTACCCAAACCCCTCACCACTAACCAATCCTAGTGGCTTTTAGACATTTAAGTTAGATAATTTCAAAGAAACAAAATAGTTCAAATCCAACCATCAAAGCATCAACAGCATCAATTCTGAATCACTACTAAATTCTAATAATTCAAGTCACAACCTAGCAAAACCCCAAAATTAATACAAAAAAAAAATCTAAATTATCAAATCAAGTCATTTAGGTCATAATCATCATCTTCTATGGCATCTTCTCCAACTTCAGGCAATTCTTCATCAAAATTTGGTAACCCCAAGTTCCCTTCTTCTTGATTTTGTTCCAACTCTAAATCATCAAACTCTTGAATAAAGGAAGCACTCTGATCATCTTCCATAATCCATTCTTCATCAAATGAAATATCATCAATTTCAACATTAAAGTTTGCAAGAGATTTTTTGGAAGTCTTCTTCTTAGCCAATCTTGTATTAGCCATCACAAAAATAACATAATTCATGGTCTTTTGCTTGAAACGGTTTCTTCTTTTTGTGTGGACCAATAAAAGTAAATTAACATGAAATTTACACCTTTGAAATGAAATGCAATTCATATTTCATATTTTTGAAACTTTAACATTTCAAAAGCGCTCCAATTTCGCTCACACCCAGAAAAACTGCATGTCATGCTTAATACGTGGATAACAAAAATTTTATGCTCTGGATTATCATCCCCATAAGACTCACACCATTATGTTGAAGTTTTTCTTCCCTCAATTGTAACCTTGGCTATTGGATTACCAACAAAAATCCCTTTTTACTCTTGAAACTTCCAATTGAGCATCAATATTAGATATTTCTTCTAAATCCCCCACCATCATGTTTAAGCAATCATATAATGCACATTTAACATCATATTCTACGGCATGCAAAAGGCTATGGAGTTGTCTATCCATCTTCCATCAATTATTTCCCATATAAGCATAAAACTAAATAATGAAAAAAAAAATTAGTTTAGAAAACAATGACTATAAAATTTAAATTCAAACTAAACAAAGACTAAAATTGAATTACTTTCTTTCAACCTCATTAATTCCCCCATAAATGAAGCATGTGGTTGGCTTCTCATTCGAATCAACCATGTGAAGCACTTTGATTAGAGGACCAACACCCCTCAAGCAAATCATAATATTTTCCAAAACCCATTGTCCAAAATAGTATCCTTAATGAGCTTTCCATCAATTGTCTTTGTAACCCGAGTAGCCTTCCATTCATTAGAGGTGAACATTCTTATCAATACTCCTTTATTTCCATATAGGCACCCCAAAGTTAGACAAGATGTGGCAAAGCGAGTTATAACCGGTCTTACCAAATTAGTCCCTTTGGTGAACTTAAGCAATATAGAAATAAGAGAAGTTCTTGAATAAATATAGGTTGTGATTTTTTACCCTTCGAATTATGTCACGGTGAACTGGTATCTTCTTCTGAAAATCTTCCAACATTAAATCAATGCAATGTGCTACACACAATGTCCAATATAACCTTTTTCTTTTTTTCCATCAACATTTCTCCAGTAGTTTTGTAATTTATTGTATTATTTGTCACAACTTGTATAACGCTTTCTTCACAACCTCCATAACAACAACATCAATCATTTTTAAAAAATTTAGTAGTCTTGGATATGTCAGATGCATCAATAGACTTCACGAAAATAGTTCCCGTAGGACTGTTCACTAAAAAAAATATTATTGTCCTCCTTCTTTTGTCAGTCCACCCATCGATCATTAATATGCACCCTGTTTTCTTCCATTGAATTCCTCAATAACCTCCATTGTCAAATTGAATTGAATCTTCAAATATTTGACCCTGACCTCACGGTAAGATGGTGGCTTAAATCCCAAGCTATGTCTTGAAATTGATTCTCACATCTTAATGAATTCATCACTCTTTACTGCATTGAATGGAATGACATTATTGTAGAAAAACAAAGCCACATCTTGACATGCTTCCTCTCTCAAATTCTTGTATGATTCCCTAGTTTCATGGGCTTCGGTGGAGTGTATCACAAAATTAGTCCAAGTTCAGGCAGTTTTTTTCCAAATTATCGTTTTGCCCCAGGTGGAAACGTAACCTTAAAATCAGGATTTTCACTTTATTAACCTCTAATAGGCATTAATTTCTAATTAATGTAATTTGATTATTTGGGTTATTATAGAAATGGCTAGAGTGTGAGGAAATTTGAGAGATGTGATGGAGAGTAATAGAATAAGGGTAATGAGAGCGACATCAGGGTATTTATAGGAGGGGGAATGGTTGTTATAGGGTTAATGATGTAGCAGGGGGAGGGTTGTCTGTGATACTCAATATAATTAAAAAAAAAAAAAGTTAATGAGTATTGCAGTGGCTTTCTGTAACACTCATTTGAATCAAAAAGTAAAAAATAATTTTGTGGGGGTGGGGTCGCAAAACTAACCACCCTCCATTGGGAATTATTTTCCCAGCCATAGCAAACACACAAAATGCCTATGATTTAACCCTAGATTGGTGAAACAACTCCACTAACACCTCTCATAGGAATAATTATTAATTACAAGGAATACTTAATAATGGTTGATCGCAGCGGAAGCAGGTTGTGACCCTAACCAAACTTTAATTGTAATTTTAAAGGATATGAATTCTAAAGTCTTCGCTACTTCACGATATCAAATGCTCCCAAGCCGAGAATAAGGGATAACTTTTATGTGGTACCGAGGAGTCAAAAGCCCTTGTAAGAAATGATACATGTCTATGGGATAAGTGACAAATCACAATAAGTGAACTTGACATCACATTTCAATTCCAAATCTTAAAAAAAAAAGTCTATCAATACATTCGTGAGTAGCTAACGTGGAGTATAATTAGTTTAAAAAATTGTTCGAAATAGAGAATAATTATGATCTTCATAGACAGCCCAAATCTTGATTCGCCACTGCAACATCCTTATCAAGAAGCCCCTATCATAATGGCTCATAGATCTTCACAAGTCACCATAATCCTGCAATGAACTAATAGCTTGGCTTTCTTTATCATTCTACTAACATGTAAGCCCCTGATGCCATTCTACAACATAAACAATATGTCTTATTGGCTTAGTGTAGTATTTTTGTTTGGTTTTGTTGTATGGTAGGTACCTACTAGTGGAAGTTATGGGTTTTGAGACATAAGGATTTGGAGTTGTTTGAAGTATTACACTAAGAGAAATCAAGTTGTGAACGCTTAACAATATTACCTCCAGTTTAGGGAAAACCCTAGAGTTAAATTCAAGTTATTCGACTTTGTACCATATGGACCCAAATAATCATGCTCTCACCGATTGGGTTTATATGCAAACTATTATTTGAACTATTTATCAATATATATCCAATAATTTTCTCATATGTTCACTATACAACACAATCCAACAAGGTTATCTATATAATATTCAAAATAATTATAAATCATCCATATCCAGTCCAAGACTATCAACATAGATTAGTCAAAGAGTTTTAACAGCAAGATATTATACTCAATCATTATTTGCAACCTAAATAAGTTGTTCATTCTTAGACCCTTTTTATCTTCTCCTTTTGATTATGATAAGCACACAATGACATCTACTTGCAAGTTTTCAGATTTCTGTATGTCTATTACAACTCCAATTTGAGGCACCAAAGACCTAGCTTTGTTGAGCATATGTTACTGACAATGATTCTTGTAGATAGAAGATCTTTAGAGACTTACTTCGGCTAGGCATTCTTCAAGTACCTGGATTATCGAGCACTCAAAGACCTGAATTACTGGGCACCAAAGACCCACATTTGCTGGGCATTATTTATTGAATATGTATGTTACTAACAATTTTTGTTGCAGGTAGAAGATCTCCAAAGACCTAGCTTAGCTAGGCATTCTTCAAAGACTTGGATTATCAAGCACTCAAGGACCTAGATTATCAGGCACTCAAAGACATAGTTTTGTTAGGCACCCAAAGACCTTGATTATCGAGCAACAAAGACTTGGCCTTGTTAGGCATTGTTTATTGAATATGTATGTTATTGACAATCACTACAAGAAAACCGGGATACAAAGGCGGTGTTTTGATGGCTGTTTTTGAAGCCGACCCTAAATCAAGCAATTAAAGCGCCCCTAAGCTATTTATTAAGTCTTTTCTCTCTCTTTTGACGATAGTAAATATCCCATTAGCGCATCGAATATGTTTTTCCTTTTTAGCAACAAACGCATATCAGTTGCTATTTCTGACTGGCCACTCTTTATTTCTCTTCTTCACATTCTTAGCCAAACCCCAACCCTAATCCTACCTTTTCCTCTACCAATCCCAAATCTTTAATTTCCATTCCACAATGCTTCCCCAATCTCAAACTCAAACCCCTTCTTCGGAATCTCCCATATCGCTCCTCCGAGTCTCATTCAATCCATACCATTCCTGCTTCGCAGCCGCAATCGACGCCATCTTTCGCATCTACAACTGCGACCCCTTCCGGGAGCTCTTCCGTCGCGACTTCGCCGGCGGAGAAACCGGCCACGTCGAGATGCTCTTCCACAGCAACATAATGTGGCTCGTCGATGGCGAACTTCAAGCTAGTGCAAACAACGAGGTTGAGATATGGGGAAGTACACGCTTCTAACAGGTACACGTTGGTTCTATTTTCTGAATGTTCTCAATTTCGCTGTTCTGTTTGAGATTTTTGGTTGTGATTTTTTAAATAAACCAATACTGTAGAATAACATTATGCTGTTAAAAATCATAAGCTAAGCAGGCTTAGGTTCAAAATGTGTGTATATTAGTTTGGCGTAATGTTTGGATAATGAAGATAATGGTTGAGGCTAATTGAATTGAGAAATACAAAAGTAGTTTATTTGGCGAAGTGCCAGTGTTGACGAGTTGGATGATTTAAAGTGCAGAATATTTTCTTGTTTCATATGGGAATCAAGATGCATGTTCAGCTATAAGATTTTTAGTTTGGACTGATACAGATTCATCCGTTCAATTATTGGTTTTTCATGCATATAATTTTTGTCTTATATTTAATGTTTAATTTGTAGTGTATTTTTATGACAGCACGTTAATTTTTCCTAGGTAAATTCTGAATTTTATTAATTCTGACACCTTAGAATTTTAGTACAATTGGAAATCTTACACTTCAACCATTACATGAGACCCATGTGGTGCATGATGGCCATGTGTCATGAAGATTCCTCCTCACTAGCCTTGCATGGCCGCCACATACACCTCTCTTGTATAATATTGTGTTGCACTGTAAAGTTATGCTCAAAATTTATTCAATTTCACAGAACATGCATCTATTATGTCATGTACCTTCTCTGTATATACTTCAACTCGGCTTCTCTGGTGTAAAAAAATAATGAAAATATTTAGTTGCACTATGATTGCTTGCTATTTTTTAGGAATGGGCTCAGAGGTTGTTCAACATTATGAGTTATAGTGAATTACTTAGATTTTATTCTTTCTTTTGCCTGAGTATAGACCCATCTTCTACTTGGTACCTTAAAAAATGCAGTTATACCTGTCAGAATTGCAAGTCAACTATCGACTCTTCTGATTATTATACTCTTGTACTACTTGTGTGAAAGTATCTTCATTGAATCAGTTATTGCAGGCGTTGCCCATGTTCACTTTCGCAAACCAGGCAGGGCTTTACATGCTGGAGACTACCTTAGTTGCTCTACAAGACATAAAGTTAGAGAAAATATTTGACGATCATGGAAGGTGCTGAACGAAGAAGAGAATGCTCATTTTATTTGCTTTATGAATCATACATCTGACTTTGACATGGTATTTTCTTATTGATTTGGCAGACTTGGATTTCTTGTTTCATATGTTTTTCCTTGCTCGGTGCTGCAAGCTTCTAGAGGAGAACTCGTTCTGGGGGAGGACTGCCGATTTCTTTTACATGCTCTTATTTGGTGCCACTGTATTGACTGGAATTTTCTTCTTGGGGGGATGATATATGATGGTTAGTCACATTTTTATATATTTTTGGTAATTGAGTTCACATGTTAAAATCTGTCTCAAATGTTAAAGCTTAATTTTTCTTTTTCAGGTTTATGTGTGGAGCAAACGAAATCCCTTTATTCATATGAGCTTCCTTGGCCTCTTTACTTTCACTGCTGCCTACCTTCCATGGGTGCGTAAGATCTATGGTTGTTATCTGTCTGATTGGAAAATAATATTAACCCGTTTGAGGCATTAAATACTTGTGTATAAGACAGTTGCTTGAATATCTACTAGTTATTTGGGCACATGTTATCTTGTGTTCAACCTTTTTTTGCCCTGGAGCAGCTTTCAGGGAAGTTCAACCTTGAGGGAAATATTGAATTGCAGGTATATGGCTGGCCCAAAATATTGAATTGCAGGTATATGGCTGGCCCAAAATATTGAATTGTATACGTGAATGATAAATGAGATTGTAGTAATCTCTTAGCTAATGGATGCAAGTATTCAATGGAGCAGGTTGGTGTTAGTTCTTCCGCACCAGGTGCTGCATTACAAGTAGATATTCAGGCTTCAAATTGTAGTGGTTCTTTGCTTTTTACATTAGGGAGTTGTACTTGATACCCAAGAATATGTTGTAATTTGAAGGAGATTTATTTTCCCCCTTATACTTTTTTAATGTTTCCAGGAAGTGGGTACTCCCTTCTCGTTGCTCAGATGGAACCAAAAATTATAAGAACAGAGCTCTTAGAACTCTTATTTGTGAAAGTAAGTTTCCAATAATTACTGCAGAAGAAAAATAGTTTCAAGGAATATTTATAAACTGGCTTGACTGATTTAAATATAGATTTCATTACTGTTTGATTATTTTTCCTTTTACTTTTCTCTTATTAGTCTGGCTCAGGATCCTTCCTTAAAATCGAAATTGATGATCCTGCTGCACAAGCCATTGAGTTCCTTATACTTTATGAAGCTCAGAATAAGTGGTGTGCTTTTCATAATCTTGTTTCCTTTCTCCCCTACGTGAATTTTACGTGAATTTTTACTTTACGTGAATTTTCTTTGATCAGGTTATGGGTGAAGGAGAGGAACATAGAGTCGTTAAAATTGCTGACTTTGGACTTGCAAGGATATATCACGCTCCTTTGAAGCCATTATCTGAAAATGGGGTATGACTGTATGATGAGGAATCATTTTCATTGTTATCCACCTGTATTATATCCATCATTTTCATGCATATTTTTATACATAAATATGGTATTCTTTTAAATTAAGAAACCAAAGCTTGGGTAAGCATATATTTTTAATTTGACCAAACTTATTCAAGTCATATTTGGGAACTTGTCTTGGACAAATGGGAAGCACAGAGTAACCAGTCTTATTGTAGTCCTGTAACTTCAGAAATTACTGAGAGGAATGTTATGCTATCATAACCATTTTAGTATGTGTTTGTGTTTGTTGTTGTCAGGCTATAATGATAATAATGTGTTTTTTACCATTGCAATGTCGCTGTATTGAACTTCCTTACATTGGAGCTATATACTGTAATAGGGACACTGAATCATGTAAGGAACGCATATGCAAGATCCTTCTAAATAATATTAATTAGTATTATGCCCTTATTCACCATTCTACCTTCACCATTGTTTTTTCCTCTTTCTATTTGTTCTTTCATTTCCTTCAATTATGTCCCTCTAATTTACGAGCCATGCAACTGAATTCCCATAGCCAACTGTAATTGAATTGCTCTGTTATTTTTTTAAGAATGAATGAATTTAGTTGAAAGGGAATCACAATAATCAATTGTACAATTTTCGTAACCTAAACTCCTAACTTAGTTTTGTTGTGATTTAGTTGCTTTTATATTGTCATCTTGCAAGTATCATTTTTCAAAACTAAAGGAAGTGAAGTGGTATTGCTTTCAGTTACAATGATTTTTATGATCTATCAACATGGACCTTCTAAGAATTCCCCTTTATTAGAAACAAACCTAAACATTAGTATCACAGTTGGTCACTCTCTACTGTATATAAATTGTTCAATCACAATAGCTTAACAGTGATTCAGCGCATCTTTGTGAAGTATTTTGCAGGGACTGCAATCTTATTTTGCAGATCTTAACCTCCTTCTAGCCAATGATAGTTAAAAAATAAAATAAAAAAAGTTTGCACATTTTTGTTGAGAGATCATAAAGAAAACAAGACCATCCTTTACTAAAGAATCGTAAGTTGTAGGTATACACTCAATTGGAATACCCTTTAATGTGGTTAATTTTTAGTCTTTTTTTATTATATTTTATTTTTTAATGTTTGTTTTTTCTTTCATTAATTGTAAAGAAAACCTAGCTTTCAAAAATCAATCCGGAAAACAAGCTTGAATAATTCACCAGCTAAAGCTAAACACATATTTGGGCTTGAGAAAGATCAGGGTCCAACAAGAACAGTTCCTGTTGGGAGGACAACAAAAGATGATCTCATTCGAGCTAAATCATTATTAAATAATCACATCTTGGCTCAACACAGCCCTGGTACTCATGTAAGTCTCAATTTCATATTTTCTCAATTTATGTCTGTAGATCACATATAATATTTGAATTTTGGACAAGTTATCTTAATCTACTGAATTTGTAGGTTGCAAAAGTATCTCTTAAAACAATTCCTGGTATGCCTTATTATGGAGTTAGTGGAAATAATAGCATTTATAATCTGAGAGTTAAGAAACATCAATCAAGCACTTCACATTGGTTCAAAATGGACAGGTGTTACTGATAAAATCGTTATAGGATGGCATGAGTTTTAATTTATGTAATTATCGCAATATCTGTTTTCTAAAAACTTGCATATATATGGCTTGTTGGTTGGGGTGGAAAAACCACTACCTCTGTCCAGTCCTCCAATGGAAAGGATGAGAACTATATACATGCATGCTATTATTTTCTATTGTTCAGAATTGCCCCATTATTTTCTATTAATTTTAGTATGACTTTCATAAATTTTTTGACTTTTGAGCTGAAAATGAATGTTCAGTTATTCTTGAACTTACTGTTAAATTATGGTTGCTTCCTAGCTTATTTTAGTGAATAATGATGATAAAGAAATTTATTGTCTGTAGTAGATATGGAACCACCCTGGGATCTTACAATTGACAAAAGAAGACAAGGACTATGCAAGACATGAAGATGCTGTTGAGAATTTTCTTGCGGATGATAGCTCCAGTGATGAAAATTCTGGTTTTATTGTGCTTGCTAGGGGTAGTCTTCATGTATATGGATCCATAGGCGCCTACACTTGTATGCTTCCAATAGTACTGATTACTTATTAATTGATTGAAAGCTTCCTCTCTATGCTGTGAGTGGTTTTTGGATGTATGTTTGTATATGCACAATCAATTATTATTATATGATTTGTTTGTTATTAGTATGCTTTGAATATCTAGAATCTTGTTCTCGATGTTGTTTGACATCTGAACTATAAGATCAATTTAATTGCTCCAGTTTTACATTAGTTTTGTTGTATTACAGGAAAACATTAAATTTGGTAATAATAGATGAATGTCAAGTGTAAAGTAAATATTAATTGTTATTCATAATGTTAAAAATATAATATATATTTTTATTAAAAAATTATATTCTATGTGAATTATATGAATTTGCAATTTTTCGTTGTGAAAAATATTTTTTTTTTCTGACCTTTTATGTTTAGATTGAAGAATCATGGAAAAGGATTGTAAAAAATAAATGGATGAAAATATATTGATTTTTTTTTAAATTTTTTCTAAATTCAACGGCGGTTTAAAACCGTAGTTATCATGATTTGAATTCGCTGGCGTTTATTCCCGCGGTTTCCCAAAAACGCCATAGAAATATCTAACGGCGCCAATTCCAACGTTGGTTTTATAACCGTCAGAGTATAATTCAGCTTCGGTTTAAAGCGCCAGTGTCCCTTAAAAAAAATCGACGTACAAATCCTACTTTTGCTGTAGTGAATGTTTGTTGCGTATAGATGATCTCCAAAGTCCTAACTCTAGTAGGCTCCAAGACCTAACTCAGCTAGGCACATAACAAATTAAAACTTTATTCATACATATTTGTTATAGGTTATAACTCAAGAAGTCCTAACCAAGTTAGGCATTCTCCAAAAGTCTTATCTCGGCTAGGCTCATTTTGGATCCTATTTTTTATAGGTTAAAATCAATATCTTGAAATATTGACACTTCCATCTTAAACCTTGAAAAAAGACTCCAAACATCATACTTGCTCATCCGAAATGTAAATTGCATTTGCAGCCTTGCAAGTAGGGATGGTAAACTAACCAGGGGTCTTTGACCCGGCTTGTAAAGATCCGGACTTATATGTCTAAAATTGGTTGTTAGAATCATGTTTTGACTTATATAAAAACTCGTTTAATAAAAAGGCCTCAAGCTCCAACTCAAAAGCCCGGTCTTAGATACTCTCAGGCTGGTCTAATATACTAACTTTTATTTTTATTTTATATTTCTTTCATCAACCTATTTTACCCTATTTTATTAGTTAAACAGACTTTTTGAATTATTTTGTTCTATATTATGTTGTTTGGATATACATTAAATTTATGAATTTTTGTGGAATTATTAGTGATGTTGAACGCATATTCTGTTTGGATAAATTTTTGCTGTCTTATTTTTTTTTTAACAGGCTAAACTAGACTTTTATTTCTTCTAAATAAGACAAGTCTTAGGCTGATAATTATATTCATAATAGGTAACAGGCTAGGTCAGACTGACACATTTAAATACAGGCTTAACCTTTAAGATCAAAGATTGATCCGGCTCGACCCGTTAACACCCCTATTTGCAAGCTCGATTCCATCATGGACCTTAGCGACCAGGGACAACATATCTTACAAAGATGGCACCCCAACAAGTGAAGCACCAAGTTGTGGGCTTTTGTTTTGGATGTGCTATTTGGGCTTACGTCCACTACTCATAGGGCTCATTAGCTAAGGGGAAAACTCTAGACCCCTTTGGGGGACTTTTAGGCATATGTAAAATGGGTCTTCACCCTCATTCATCAATAAACAAGTAATAATCCTACTTTAAATATTATGCTTATGACTCTTATTGATTTAATAGAATGTCTGAGTGTCGTGCAAGTGCATCACCTCCTTATATCACCCGAAGCACACAAAGGAGTATCTTGCCGCCACTACCATTGGATCTACTCCATAAAATCTCAGCCACAACCATACATCTAGTCCAGATCTACACATTTCAACATAAGTTTGTGATGAAAGGTAAAAGTAGGAAACACTACAGGAGAGGTAATTGGTATTTTACCAGCAATGAATTCTTTGTCTCTAATATATACTATGGGCCCGTTTGGATGAGCTTTTTTTTCTTTAAAAGCTGCTTTTTTTTAAGAAAAAAAGCGCTTCTAGTTTTTAGTTCGTTTGGATGTCTGCTTTTAAAAAAATGAGAAATCACAAAAAAAAGCCAAAAATTTACTTTTTTCAGAAGCTAAAAATTTTAACTTCTCAGAAAAGCAGAAGTCAAAAGTCAAATATTTTTTTCAAAAACTAAATATTTTTATAAAAATATAAATAGCTTTAACTTTTGTAAAAAGTACTTTTAAAATAAGGAAGTGATAAAAAAATATTTTTTCTAAAAGCTGAAACAAACGACCTCTATGTCTGTTCTTCCAATTTGTTTAAAATCTATTACAGGATAATAAATTTTTATTATTACTAGTGATATTCATCTAATAATTTTATTTGTAACATAGAAAGATTTAAAAATTGAGCCGTCAATTAAAATGTTTTCATCAACGATATCAAACAACAAGACTTTTTTGTCAAAGTAGTTTAACGAATCTGGAATAACGAAGTGATTAATTTTTTTTTACTTTCTTTACCAAAAAGAAAGAACAAGGAAATATTTAATAATAAAATTCTTAAATAAGAGAGATGAAGTAGACGAGTTACAACAAAGGTGCGAGAAGGAAATGAGCCTAATGTTTGGCCACCATCCAATATAACTTAGATGTTGATTGACACCTAAGATTCAGTTGATAAACGGGTCAGTTGTACCTAGATTCAGTACATCTCATCAATGAGAACATTACACATCAGAGGAGAGAAAAAAAATTTAACAAAAAAAAAAAAAGAATTTTGACTGACATGTATTATTTTCATTGGTGGAATGTACTGAATCTTTGGTACAACAGTAGTACCAAAGATTTATTCGTCAACGGGGGCTAGACGAACATTTTCAAGCTTATTTAATTTATTGTTTTTAATAACACCATCTTCAAAAATAATATTTATATAATATAAATTGCCTTGCACCGCACAGGGGGCATGCAAGACTAATCTCACATGAATGAGATATTTTTATTTGAATGAGAACTTATTGTATTATATTGATACTTTATTTGAAAATTACATTATTTAGGATATTTTTTTCCGTTATTCCAATTGAGGAATGCAACAACATAAAAAAAAATTTTGAATTTTTTTGTTAATACTATTTATTATTATGCCAGATTTCAGACGTGGCCCCACTAAATAATGAGTCTACTAAAAATTTACATAATAATAAAAACTACGTTAAAAAATAGTATAAAAAATATGGGGAGAGTTATATTGACAAAAAAATTATTTACAAACTACACTAAATCTGACTAGTCATTGTTGAGATATATAATCTCACATTGGTTAGATGTGCAACTAATGTGGCCTTTATAAGGCTTTGGGCACTCTCACCCTTTGAGCTAGCTTTTGGAGTGGTGTATCCCAAGGTTCTTTACATGGTATCAGAGCTTGAGCTCTTACCGCCTCCCACTTTAAAGTGGAATTAAAAAAAAAAAAAAACACAAAAGGTAAATCAAAAATTGGGCCTGTGCAATTCCACGCTTCTAGCCCAAAGGGCTCTTGCGTGAGGGGGCGTGTTGAGATATATAGTTCCACATTGGTTAGATGTGCAACTAATGTGGCCTTTGTAAGGCCTTGGGCACTCTCACCCTTTGAGCTAGCTTTTGGGGTGGTGTATCCCAAGGTTCTTTACAGTCATACACTCTTGATTGAAGCTTGACTAGTCAAATTTAATGTAATTTGTAAATTTATAAGAAAAAAATTTGTAAATATAATCCCTCCCAAAAAATATATTATTAATCTGAGTCAATTTCTTCACAAAACAATATGAAGACTAAGACTTTTACCACACAAAAAAAAAGTGTGAAGACTAAAAGACTATCTTTCCAGGGGAAAGTTAATGGCAATTCGTAACTTCAACAGAAGACATGGATGGTGTTTGGAAAACGGGTCAACTCGACTTGATCTGATTCAATCTGTATGTAATTTGAAAAAAAATAAGTTAGGTTAGAGTTGGCTAGAAATAAAATGAGCAAGAAAAATTCAAACCAACCCGACTCGAGCCAGGTTAGAGTTACTCGTGGATTGGTTCGAAAAAAGAGAGGGTAAAATAACACTTGATATAAGATAAGGAAATGAGTTTCATTTAATATAAGATGTTTATGGCAAAGAAAAACACTTGATATAAGATATTTAGTTGTTGAGTATAATTAAATTAACAATTTACAAGATCAAAACAACAACTCAAAATACATCACAAAAGGTCCAATACTTCATTAAAAGTTTCCAAACAAAATATTCCAAGTCTAACAAGACATAATGCTAAACCAAATCAAGTTTCATGAGCCTTTAGGGAATGGCAACGGCAGCAGCGATAGCAACGTATGTGTTTGGAATTTAGCCATTAGTTTCTACTTTCTTTGAATAGATCTGATTCCTTTATTATTCTTTATAATTTTTTAATAAAAAAAAATAACCTACGAACTGATTCATTTGACTCATCAGTTGGCTCGATTATTTTTGAGCTGACTCGGGTCGGACTGACTTGAGTTATCAGCTCATTTTTGTCAAACTTGGTTCTTTTATGCAAGTTAGGAGTGAATCCAATGGTTGGCTCATTTTTATTATCTCTGTGTTTTACGAGAGGTCTCTTTTTCTCTCAATTGGTTAAAATGAAGTCAAAATCAGGTGTCTGGTGGTGTCTGAGTTGTCTTTTACTTTGCATCAACTCTCGAGTAATTGAGACAAAGTCAGTTAGAAGGTTGAATGTCAAACGAGTCCATAGGATTCTGAAATAAATCATTTAGTCCATGGCAAAATTAAGTTGGGTCTAGCAGGTATACTTTACAGCCACAATTTTTGACAAAATCATTCAGGACTCTATCATCATGATTTCTCGAACAACCATGAGTTAATGGAGCTATACCTCACTAGGTTTAGAATCACAATTCTTAGTCTCTTAAATCTTTCTTCAAATTATTTGCTAGATTGGGAAGGAGTAAAGAACACTGCG